TCAACGCTAAATTGGACCTTTGTATGTGGAGTTCTGTTAATTTGATTATGAATTTTTCATATTTTAAATTTTAAACATAAAATAGAAGTTGCATTTACTGGTAGGTTTGTTTTCAAAAGGGGTGCAACTTGTGTAGTTGTGTTGGCCTGATAAGAATTTTACAATTCTTCTGACTTTGGGGTTTTGGATTATGTTCATTGAAATTTTGAGAAAAGCCTAATTTAAATCCACCCTAATTGCACCTCTAATTTTGGACACATGGATGTTGTCTTCATATTTTAACAATAACTAGTAAATATGTACTTGTATTGAATGTGGCAATTTCCAATAACATTAATATTTTTAATATCCCATTTAAAAAGGATAAATAATCAAAGCATAGTATGTTAGTAGATTTAGATTTTATATTTCATTTTCATTGTTAATAAAAATACTTCTTATTTATCATATTTATTTTTGCTTAATATGATAAATATATAATATTATAAGTGTGCACAAATTTTATAGACAATTTTTTGTGTTTTCTATATTTTTTATTTCTATTTATTTTTTTAAGTTTTATTATATAATTATGACATCATGCCCTGGCCTATTTGACTTAAGAAAATCTCATTTTTGGGAAACTTTAAATTTTTTATTCTATTTATATATATATATAATTAATTCTAAAAGTAATTCACTTATTTTTGTTTGATATGATAAGTTTATAATATCTAAGATGCGTTAGAATTTTTTATAAAATTTATGTATTTTTTTATTTTTTGTGGTTTTATCTATTTTTTAAATTTTTATTATTTAGTTATGACAGCATTGGTTAACCCATTACTCAAATGATTGAACCATTATGGTGCAAGTCAAGTAGGTTGGGCTGAATTTAATCTTAACCTAGACCCAAACCTATGCATTGGACCTAATAGGGGGCAAGCATGGGTTGGTTTGGTTTGGTTCCATGGCAAAATTTGGAACCTACTCTGTAGGGGTAGGTTCTTGGTTTTTGGAACCGAAACCTACCTTGTGAAGATCGGTTTTGGCCTTAACAGTTATAGGGTTGGTTCTAGGGTCAACCCATGGAACCTATTCTTTCTTTACTTCCCCCCCTCAAGAAAAAAAAATGAAACATGTCCTTCAAAAACTTGATTTTCAATAATAATAATAATATATATAGCTTAAAATATTATCTTTATTAATTAAATTGAGTAATTTAATATGTAGATAATCATAATATTTAAATATATGGTTGAAAATTTGTCATTATAATTTAAATTTTGTTAATATTAACTTTTACATTATTTATTTTACACATACAAATATAAAAATGAAAACAAATAATCAAATCACTTAAGTAACTCGATGGTCAAGTGAGACCATGAATTTTATAACCATGAGTTCCTAAGCTCAAATCTTTACATCCTTAAAAATATTTTAGGGTTTATTTCAAAGCAAATTTGGTTCCAAGGCAGGTTCTACCAAGCCCAACTTGGACCCAACTTGTTTGTTTTGAAATTTAATGCACTTAGGTTAGTCTTGGACTTGGTTTTGTTGATTAGTCACATTACAAAATTTGACATAAAATGTATATGCATAATTGCACATACATGTATATATGCAAAATATGTTCTATATATGTATTTATGATTGTATGTATATAATTAGGCTTTACTTTAGCTACCTAAGATCTAGGCTTAGGCCTAACCTAAAAAATAAAAAAGCCCAAACTTTTGAGACTAGGCCTAAGCCCAAGTCAAAGGCTAAAAATTGAAGCTAGCCTATTTAAAATTACAAGTTGGGTCAATTCAAGCTCGAGTTAAGCTCACCTAATTTTACTTATATTTCTACTATTAATAAAAGTAACTCTTATCTATCACACTTATTTTAGTTTAATGCGATGAATAGGGGTGCAAGTTGGGCGGGTTGGGCCGGGTTTATGGTCAACCCAGGCCCGACCCTAAAATTTGAGCTTAAGGCTCAAGTCGGTCAAGCCCGATTTTCCCAACCCGAGCCCAACCAACCCTATCATTTGATGCACTTGGGTTGGGTTCGGGCCCGGGCCGGGCTTGGGTTGATCAATGGACCCACTCTAAAATTATACATATATAAATGTATTTATGTAAATATATATACATATGTTTATGTATGTATGTAAATATTTATGTAAAATATATACACAAATGTGTATGTATATATATGTAAATATGTATGCAACATTTATATATATATATATATACACATATATGTATAAATGTATATAATTGGGTCAGGCTTGGGCTGGGTTCAGGCTACCTAAAGGCTAGGCCCGAGCCTGGCCCGAAAAATAAATAAAACCCAACTTCTTGGGCCTGAGCCCAGCCCGAAGACTTCCAAGCCCAGCCCGTGTAAAATTCTGGGTTGGGTCGGTTCAGGCTCGGGCTGGGCCCGCCCAAGTTGCACCCCTAGCGATGAATACATAATATTAGAGATGCGTCCAAATGCTTTCTTTAAATTACGTTTTTACCTAGATAGTTAAAGAGGGACTAAATTCATAAATATGGGTGTTTTAGTCAAGAAAGCTCATCTATTTAATGTGTCTTAAATCTAAGATTTAATGGAAGGAAATGGGAGTTAATACCTTAAATAAGACTTAATGGTGAAGAATATAATGAATTTAATAAAAGCAGTAATTTAAGTTATGTTTTTTGCCCTCATAATAAAGGGAGACCAAATTTAAATAATAATGGTATTTTAATTAGTAAAAAAAACCCAAAATCTAGACCTCATTCACACTTTTAATAATAATATAGATATAGATGAATGTGATACTAAGTCCATGTTTGGGAGTGCTTATCTAAATAAACACTTATTCTGAGTAGGACCACACCAATAAATACTTATTTGCATTTGGAAAATAAATCCAAATAAAATAAACACTTATTTAAGAAGTCCAAATTTTGAGCATATTTCCTTTCTGGCCCCTCTTGGCCCATAGGTCATTTTAAAAAAACCTATACAACCCTTGTTTCAAATAAGCACTCTCAAACTTAGCCTAAATATTTGGGGTGCTCACGGTTTGGTGGGCCACTGGGCCTATTTTTGAAACTGAACTGGGGTTACCCGTTGAAACCAAATTGAAGCCGATTGGTTAACCGATTGAGCGGTTCAATTAACCATCAATTTGGTTCGTCGATTTTTCAGTTTTTATATTTACAATATTTATTATAAAAAATATATAAATATAATAAAAAATTAGAAATATTTATAAAATATTATATTTAAATAATAAATAATATATTATATATTATATATTATAAAAATATATTTATATATAATGCATATTTATTAATTCATAATATCTAAAAATATATAACATACATAAATATATAAAAATATATGTATATTAGTCAGTTTGGTTAATCGCCAGTTTTCTATATTAATTAACCAAAACTGAGCCGATACCTTCAGTTTTTTAAAAATACTGAATCGAAACCGAACGGTCTGATTCAATTAATCGGATTTTCAGCTTGATTAAGGTTGAATTCTCGGTTCTTTTGGATTTTTCTTGCTCACCCCTCCTAAATATAACGAAATGAATGAAATGTTGATACAAGATTCAAATGATGATGACGATGAGATGGGATAAGATGTTTTAGGCTGAATTCTTGTCCATGAGTGAAGGGTGGGAGAAGTCTTTTTGATGTACTTGTTTGTTGATGGAAGATCACCATGTGATCCCACCAGTAAACCTATCTCCCCTTAGGACAAGATGCATCATCGCACCCAATCATGGGTTTTAACAGGTGGATTTGTGTAACAGTGTAAGATGGGATTTATGCAAATTCAAGGTGGGGTATAATTTTCAATCCAATGGACAGTGTTAGTCACCGAAAAAAAAAGGATAGACAATATTTATTTAGTTAAATGGTCTCTTGGGATCATCATTTTAGCATATATATATATATAATCCGGAGGTAAAAATATGGTTTATATTAGATGTAATTTATATTTTATTTTTTAATTTTTATAAATAAAAAATAAAAAAATTGAAATTTGAAGCCACAGAAGGTATTTTTTGGCAAAAATAATGGGGTAAGGCAAAGATCACTGCAATCGAACAACTAAGTACAAAGTTGTAGTCTTCGAAAATTTCAACATATTTTAGTATGTAACCTCTGACCTAAACATTGGGTTGAATGGTTAAATGGTTCAATTGCCTGAATCAGACATTTTTTGATTAAGTCAACAATTTTGGGCCAATTTTTAGATTTTAGGAAAATTGGGTCCCCAAAACGGGACTAGGTAATGATTCGAACAATTTGGCTTTTGGATAAATGGCGGGTTGAAACATTGATTTTTAGTGGTTTCTAGTTTAGTTACTCATCCACATAAGTACTTTTTTTTTTTAATTAAAAACGAATTGGATGCTGAAATATTCAAAGATAAGAAAAAAAATTTAATACTTTATAGTTCTTATGAAACTATTGGAATACTTTATTTTTAATATAAAAATATGAATTTATTTGTAAAAAAAACGTACGAGTCCAAAAAAAATAGTATGGGTCCTGGATGGTATAGTTTCCAGTTGCCACTATTTATGAGCTGGGTAGTCTAACGGGCCGGGGCAGGCCGGCCCATTGTTTCTTGGTCTTTAGCATGATTTTGGGCCTGAGATTTGGACCCGAAATACTAGCTCAACTTTTTTATATAATAAAAATATATTTTACATTGTTTCTTTATTTTTCATCTTTTTTCTGAAAAGATAGTAAGATATTTTAATATTTTTATGTTTTGAGGTAATTTAATATAAATAAATTAATTTTATTGTTGAGTAAAATTATTTTTTTGACCAATTTGTAAGTCGGGCTTCGGGCCTGGGCTTCGAACTTTATACAAGAGCCGGATTCAGGCTCAAAATGTAGGCCCAATAGGCGGATCGCTTATAATCTTGGGCCTGAACGCGTTCTATTAATAAAGATGCAAATCACGGCTCGAACCCAGCCCGTGAACAGGTATAGTTGCCACTTGCCGGTAATGGTCCTCAGGTTGGGCGATGGGCTGGATTTATTCTAGTGGATACCAATCTGACGAAAGAGCGCTTCCTCCTGTCCTGCGTTGAGTCATTCATCTTCTTTCTGGAGTCAGGAGTCTGGACAGGAGAGGGATAGGTACTACCGTACTAGCTTTCTTGTGGGAGAGGGAGAGAACGAACCTAATGAGCTTAGCACTATTACAGGGCTACTCTTCTGCTGAAGAAGAGGAAGAAGAGCCGTTGTTAGATGAGAACTCCTCGGACGACGACATAGAAGATATCATCTCCAGCCGTTCGAGGGTCGAGAAAAGTTTGTTCGATCTCCCCAAGCCGTCCGGCAAATCATTGCTACCATCCGCGTTTGAGGCATTCTCCGAGGTACCTTTCATGCCCTTAGTTTACCCAATAGACGTTAAGCTAATTCCTCCTTTTGAATTTCCTATCCTACCTATTTATTATTTTTTTTTCCATTCCTTTTTTCTTCTGGTTCTTGGAGATTTCAGGACCTCCGGAGTTTCTTAACAATTCCGTCTCCGAACATGCTTCTGTTGACGACATCGACAAGACAAGGAGACGCGGTGGTCGGAAATATCATAGGGAGAAGAAGGATCTGCCTGCTGGTATAATTTGATTTGATTTTGTTATTGTATCCCTTGTTATGTTCTTTTGGGTTTCTTTCAGCTTTGAACGAATGGCAAAAGAAATAAAAACGCGTCCTTTCTAGTGTTTATTTCCCAAAACCTTGTCCCAACGGCTAATTGTCCTTGCATTCACAAGCTGAAAAGGAAAAGAAAAGTAAAAGAAGTATACACTATTTTGATTACTAATAGAGGAAGTATACGTTTTCTTCCTTGTTACTATTCCCCGTGTTGATTCTACTATTTAAGGGGGATTTTCTTTGGAAGGCCATTCTCAAGAAAAGTCAAGTGGGTAATTACAGTGTTGATATCCCTGTCTTTTACATTGGTTTCCAATTTTTCTTCATGTTGATGGAGTGTATTCTGCCGTTACTTCTTTTGTGTTTTTCTATCTATTGTCTCCGATGTTTGCACTTGAAAGGGTGGAAATCATTCTTATTTTTCTGGGTCCGATTTTCAGGAAGAAAATGTTTTGTTTTTTTTTTTTTTCATGTATTTGGTTGCATGAAGAAAGAGTAGGAGATTTCCATTTTTTCCCCCTGAAAATACAATGTATGTTTCCACTAAATGTCTTTTGTTCCAATTTCAAATAAGACAATTCTGCTCTTTTACTTGCGAAGAAAGGCGGCCTGTTAAAATTTGTTTATTATTTGTCCTCTCTTAGTTTGGTAATTATTTCCTTTTTTTTTCGAAACTGTAAGGTCAAGTATTTCATTAAAAAAAACCAACAACAATGAAGCCCTTGTACAATGAGAGATGAACAGAGGACAGCCCAGTGCACGAATAATTGGTAATTATTTCTAACAATCAAAGTATTTTGGACCATTGAAAGAAGAATTGGAAACACCGTTTATCACCTATGTTCTCATACCTTGATACTTATTAAAAGGCAGCCCAGTGCACGAGTATGTATGTATGCATTTTGTTCTTTACCATTTTATACTTTGTAAATTGTAACAGCTACTCCGTTTTATTAGTGCCTCCATTCATTCCCTCTTTTGCATGACCACACTATTTCAGCTGAACTTTCTTTTTTCTTATTAGCATTGGCTTCTATTCAGTGTTCCTTGAGTATGCCGATTTGTAGCCTTACATCCCCTTCACTTGCCACTCATCTGCTCATCCATCTTGACATCCTCTTTTTTGATACAACAATTGATATTTTATTAATCTTGAGTAAAAGATAAATATATACGTTAGGTGCCAAGACCCTGAAATATAGGTTAGCAATTGTTACCTAATCCTTCCCCTCCCCCACCCCATCCCCTTTTTTCTTATAAATTCAACTATCCATCATACAATGCCCAAGAATAGTTGATCCCTGTCACCCTTGTTTAGCATTGTGTCAAGTCAACCAAAGAGTTTTCTGATCTTGGAATCCATGAGTAAGTAATTATCAAATCTCTAGCCAGCTGCCTTATTTTCCTCCTAGTAGTTTTCTATTGCCACTAGCTTTTACTTCAATTCCCGAGCCAGTACACTACCACCTCTGAATCTCTCTTCACCACTAATTTAAGTGAACCCTCTCCACCTCCAGCATTCTCTTATTGACATGTGCTCACCTTCGCTTCAAATGATATATGGTAGCTGTATGAGACTTTTGAACAACATCTCCACTTGGCAACTCTAAGTTAAATAATTCATCAATATCAAAAATCTCTTGTTTCTGATGCTACATTTACTATCTAAATAATCTTCCTTCTATTAAAACCCTTTCAAAGTGTAGCATCCTTCTATAGTTCTAGCTTTGCATTTAACCCTCCTCTTCCCTTTCTGATATTTTACAAATTGGGAGACCAAAGCAAGAAGCTAGTGAAGCTCCAAAAATGACTCTGGAAACAGAAATTGGGTCATTGCACCATCAACCCAGTGCTAGTTAATAGCAGTGCTTAATTACTTATATTTTATGTTCCGTCTCTTGATTTTTGGTTTTGTATTTTGCACCTTTTTTTCTATTTTCTTTATATAATTTCTTTCCCCCTATTTTTATATAAAATCCATATTTTGTTCTACCATTCTTTTTTTCCTTTTTCTTCCTTGTTTGTTATTTTTATCACTAATATCTCTCTCTCTCTCTCTCTCACTCACTCACAAACACAACACACATATTTTTTTTTGATACACAAGGAAAAGCTTAACAAAACCTAGGAAAAGAGCTATCGATTACATCTGACAAGTGACAACAAGAGGAAATTTAGGGCCCCCAAAGAAGAGCACCTGACTTCAGCTGCAGAGAACGCTTCGTTGGCTAACCAGTCAACTACTTGATTTCCTTTTCTGTGAGTGCGATTGTAGGTGATGTTGATGTTGTTTTCTCGAGCAATATTCAAGCACTCTTCTTTGATTATGCTGCACCTCCACATAGTTGTTGCCGACCCCACAAGAGCATCAATTGTTGACTTCAAGTCACCTTCAATAATGTAGTTGCTAAAACCAAGCGCTTTGGCAAGCTTATGGGCATCAAGCCCAGCCCTCATTTCGGCTGACATTATTAGTTTTTCCACTTCTATCCGCCCCCTAGTTTCTAACAATGCATCCATTCCATAGACCATAAGTGCAATTTTCATCCTGTTTCCTAGATGCATCAAAGTTTATCTTAATCATTTCTGGGCTTGGTTGGTGCCACTTGACCCAAATTACAGTTTGACCTCTTTTGGGTGTACTCCTGGGCTTTTCTTACTATTTCTCAGGGCATATAAGAATTATTTTTAAATAATTTTTATTCCTGTTCTTCCAGATATATACCACATTAAAAAACTTATTTTTTTCCCACAACACCACAACACACATATTAATGTAAGATAAATGAAACCTACAATTTTTTTTTTTTGTCAAGGATAGAAAACTTCTTTTAATAAAAAAAAATGGTTTTAGAGCTCTAGGTGGCACTATTTTGCTTTTAATAGTTCACTTTTTTGGAGATAGGAAAAGGGTGGGGGGGGGGGTTAGGTCTTATGATTTTGGAATTTTCTTAGGAGTGGAAAGATTAGGTTTATTGGGCTGTGGATAACAATGGAGAAATATAAGAATTCTTTTAAGAATTCAAGATCAAGAAGTGACTATAATTAAGAAATTAATTCAAGAACTAGAAATCAAATTCAAGATTTAGGAATATCAGACTGGAAGGAAGAGCTATACTTTAAATTCAAGGAACTAGATTCATAAACGAAGCACATGATATCTTAAACAATAAATAGAAATATGGATAATTAAATTTAGGAGTCTCACCTCTACTGCAAGAATCATGAATAAGGCCTTAAGGAAGTCATCAACATCTGGAAGTTCTTGAGAGTTAGCACCGAAAGTCATATGAGTCCATATTGGCTTCACAATAGAACAAAGAAAATGTTTTTTTCCCTACTTTTTTTTTTGAAAGATGAAAATGAAATTTTATTGAACTGAGAAAAGATAGGCCAAGGGAGAGGTCCCCTTGATACTACTACAAAGGGTTATCCACTGAGACAATACATCAGAACATCAAAACAGACTGCAAGGCAAAGATTTTTTTTTCCTACTTTTGATATTGGAATGAATACATTTCTCTGGCTTCCCCTAGTTTGTTCTTTTGTTTACTTTTGTGAAGCAAAATTTATAGGATCCTAGACCAGCACAACAGTATGCAGACAACAACCAAAGCCCAGGCCCTGAAGGCAGTAGCTTAGGAAGAGTATCCCGTGTAGACCAGGAAGCCACATCAGCATAACTAACTCGACAGTCCCATGTGCATGGAGGCAGCTTGACAGTAGCCTGTTTTGATTCAATATAAATAGCATGAGAAACCCTACAAGTGCATGGAAAATATCTGAATCACTTTTCTTCTTCAACCTCTCTTCTTCTTCTTCTTCTCTCTACTATTCCATTTCAGGAGGAAGAGCTCCCTCGAAGAAGCTCATTAGAAGTGTTCTTATCAATTAGTATCAGAGCCAACGATCTAGGATGCCCAGCACCCACGCTAGCTCATCGGAAGAAAGGATGGATAGGATGGAAGGATAGCTCCACAAGCTAGACGGTGATTTGAAGAAAATGAAGGAGACCCTCTCTGTTTTCATATCTTAGTTTGAGAAAGGATCAGCACGATTGATGAAGGATGGCGAGCAGGAAGGCTCCAGTGGTGACAGCCAGCGGGTAGCCGGAGCTCCTCATGTCAGGAGTGCGAAAGTTAACTTCCCAGTCTTCTCAGGTGAGGATGATCCTGTCCCTTGGGTTAACCAAGCCGAACAATATTTTGAATACCAGGACATCCCTGCTTCTTAGAGGCTCCAACTCGTTTTGATTCACTTGGATGGAGAGGCCAACGTCTGGTACCAATGGTATTGGAGGTCTCACTCTCAACTGACTTGGCTCGACTTCATCGAAGCACTCATTGTGCGCTTCGGATCCTCTGGGTTTGATGATTTTGATGAAGCTCTTGCCAAGCTGCGACAGATGGTCTTGGTAAGAGAATACCAAAACCATTTTGAGAAACTGGCTTCTTGAGTTCATAGCTGGCCGGAGAATGCCTTAACGGGAAGCTTTGTTGGTGGGCTTAGGGAAGATATCAGGCTCGAAGTGAAAGCCATGTGACCTCCAATGGTGGTGGCTGCCATGGGGTTGGCTAGGCTTTTCGAAGAAAAGCTCGACCGATCCAAGAAGATGAGCCATCCCTTGGGCCCGCTCCTTAAAAACCTGCCCGGACCACCAATTAGACCAGAAAGGGCTTCGGTTCAAAGGGGACTTCTGGCTCGGATTGAACCAAGTACGCCCAGAACTGTGACCCGGGCCCTAGTTCCCATTAAAAAGCTTTCATGGGCTGAGATGCAGGCCTTTAGGGATAAAGGACTATGTTATAATTGTGAAGAGAAATTTGGCCCAGCGCATCGTTGTAAGGCCTAACAACTTTTTCTCTTGCAACCTGAGGAGGTTGAGAATGATTCCAAAGAAGCTGAGGATCCACCCATCGGGCCCACTAATTCAGATGACCCTGACTCCTATGAGGTTTCACT